ATGTTCAATTAATACTGCCACAATAATTTTCCATCTTATGTGCACATATACACTGATGGATCAAAGTACAGCAATGGTTCGACAGCTGCAGCCATGTACTATATACCAAGTCTTCGGAATGCCACTACATGGAGGTTGAACCCTGCCCATACAGTCATCAGATCAGAACTCTTTGCAATACTCAAGGCCTTGGAGTTTTGCTGCTTGGACCCAAGACTCAGCTCAGAAAAAATCCGGCTGTTAACAGATTCCCAGTCAGCATTGCATGCAATCAATAATACCATCAGTCACTCTTACAGGGAATATGTCTTCAAAATTCAAGAGTTGATTCACAAAAGGCAGGCCTCTATAGTAGTACTACAATGGGTGCGAGGGCACTGTGGTATAAAGGGTAATGAAGTGGCAGACGACAGGGCAGCCAATATGGGTCATCTCAATGCTCAATCAGCCTTAAGTGTGTTGAGCCTAGAAGAGTCACTGACTGTCTTGAGAGGAAAACTTCATCAACACTGGACTAGAACATGGAAGACATCTGTTGCTCGCACCCAGAAGGGGACTTTTTTAAGCAACATCATGGATGAACCCAGACTGTGACCCTGGCTCTGCCTAAAGTCCCACAGAATGGAGTGTGCTGCCGCTTGACTCAGAATTGGACATGCCAGTGTCAGAAGCCATCTACACAGATTCAACATGAGCGACTCTGATCAATGTGCTACGTGCAACACTGTGGATACGATTGAGCACTACTTGTTGCATTGTCAGCGGCATGCACAGTATAGACAAGAGCTGAAAGCTAATTTGAGATGTATAAATGTACAATATTCTGTGCGCAAGCTTTTGGGGGGAGGGAACTATGATGCTGATGGACAAAGGATAATCTTTCAATTTTTGATGGTACTGCATACATTTTGAAGTCAGGTAGGGTTAGCAAACTTTAGACTGGTGACCAAAATGGAAATGCTTACATGTATGTGTGTGTGTGTATATATTTATATGCATATGTATGTATGTGCTTGTATATGCATGCATGACTTGAATTATCTTACTTGTATTTGTTTACCCGATTTTATTATCAATTATTATGCCAAGTTCTATAAGCAATGGCCCTTGCTTTCTGATATTTTCTTTATGTTATGTGTAACTTTTCTCCTACACGCTGTCATGCTCAACCATCACATCCACTGACCTTTTATAAGTGAGAATAAAGTGGACTGACTTCCATGCCAAGAGGTCCAAAACTGCAGAAGCTCTCAGGCCCAACAGTCATCCTTGCAGTTGTCCTGCGGCTTCAAGTCCACCCAGCATGGACACCTGGAAAAGAAGTAAGAAGGGGGGAGGTGGCTATGCAGCCATGCACCACAAAATTTGTGCACCAATCAGCCTTGAAAGGAATGCCTAGTAGGTATATTTCCGGATGACCACCAATCAGCCGCTGATTAAGCCATCCATCAGAAACCAGCCCGTGACATCATCTTGCTTTAAATATTAAGAGCTTTACATCACGATATTCTGAAGCGAATAGCCCATAGATGCAGAGAGTAATGGTTGTCCAATGTCTACCACTGAACATTTCATCGAATCATCCCTTCATACCCTGACTTTAGCTTGAACTGTAACTTGCGGACAATGGACTGCATCTGTACTCACTGCGACCAACCAGCCCAGGTTGCCAGTGGAACTGCATGCATCCTGTGGAAACATGCAAAGTGTACTCACCTATTACCAGCAGTACTCCAAAGTTCTCCTCTTCCTTTTAGATGTAACGTAATGACAAGGAGCTCAACAAGCTTCTTTAGGGAGTGACCATTGCATTGAGTGACCTGGATGCTAGGAGTTTTGCTCAACATCCAGTCTGTTCTGCTCCCTAAGAAGATTTTATTTGAATTTAAATTTTTGCTTAAATTCAAAATTTAGGTGAAAATCTTTGTGATTAACCCATATTTATCTTAACTGTGGCCTTTGCTAACAGAGGATCTGCTGTAAATGTGTTTTAGGGTTGTCCCTAATTACCCCGGGGGGGTGTCCCTTATTACCCCATCGTGCGGAATTGGCTGCCATTTTTTTGGAATGAGATACCGGTAGGCAAATTCAGTCAATTGTGTTTTCAAGCCGACACCCGTGTGCAACTTTTCTGTAAGTAAAATTTTTTGATAAGGCAAATATTTTTTTTGCTCCAGACCTTAGTAGAAGTACTTGTCCAAAATCGCACTTTTCACACTTATTTTTGGCAATTTTTTAGAGATAGTAAATGTTTGATTTCTTCACTAGCTTTATACATAATAGATAGTAAAAATGTTGAAGTTCATGCTACTATTTATAGTTTTGCAATATTTTGATTAGTTTAGCTGCCACAACATTTCTACGAAATGTGGGACGTGCATCCCGATTTACCCCACCTGTCCCTTTTTACCCCATTTGACAGTATCATTGTACAGTGCGTATCCGTTTGACCGTAGGCTGATTCGACACACGGGACGGATATGGACGGCTCTGGCCCACTCCATCCAGGTGGTGTAAAATTTGTTCACGTATTGGCAGATGACACTGGGCCCTGCATTGTCAGGCTGTTTTTCTGTAGGCTTATTGGTCTAATTCAATGGATAGGATAATGATCTGTCTGGTGGCGTGTGGCTGATAATGTTACAGTCAATAAGTGTTGTATGCTACAACTGCTACATTCTTCAGGGAAGGGATCATGATAGTCCATTTGATTCGAAGCATGGCAGTGGTGGTCTCCGACCGGCGTCCCAACTCCCAAACAGGGACAGGGGTAATAAGGGATGGGCAGGCTAAATCGGGACAGGAGTTTTGATTGGTCACTTGTTGTGTGAAGATGTGTGGTGCAAATCTCATAGAAATTAAAATGTACTCTGGAGATCATTTTTGTTGAAAACTTGAAATATTGCCAAGGGGTCACCTGCTATTTTGAGTACCAAAGAGTCAAAGACCACCACTGCCCTGGATGTAATGGACGGTTATGGACCATCATGATTCCTGCCTTCGACAGTGTCGACCACCCTCTCCTGAGCATGATCGTGGCCTTGGACCTACATCATAATCTGGTCCGATGGCTGTACTGCTACCTAGAGGCAGGCAAGCATCCTGTCTCTACCTCTGAACGCAATTGCCTCTCAGAGCTATTCACTCGGGAGTGCCCCAGGGCTCGGTCATCTTGCCGGCCCTCTTTAACCACTTCATCTCCAATATCCCAGTGCCAACCCTAAACATTGCCTCATATGCAGACGACTGTACCATCTTTGTGTCATCCCCGAGGCTCGACGCTGCTGAGGCTGAGCTTGCCATGCTCCTTCAGAACGTCGCAGATTGGTTGGCTGCCAAGAAACTTGCATGGCTCCTGGCAAGTCCTCGGTCACGCTCTTCACCCCAGATACCCATCAATCTCGATCCCACCCTGCTGCCACAATCTGCAATGGCATCATCCCCTGGATAAAACCCCAAAATCCATGGGGTCACCTGGGATATGCATTTCACGTTCTTCCCTCACGCTAGAGCCATAGCCACGAAAGCAACGGGATCTCTTTGCATCCTAAAAGCCCTTGCTGGCATCAACTGGGGCTTCTCCAAAGAGGACATTATTGCCACCAACCAAACCATCAGGCACCCAATCCTGAACCACGCAGCCCCCATCTGGTACCCTGTTGCCTCATGCACAGTAATTGCCAGCCTGCAAACAGTACAAAACACCTCATTGAGACTAGCCACCAGCTGCCTCAAAATGGCCCTGATCACCCATCTTCACCAGGAGTCCTCCCATTATCCATGCACCTAGACCTGGCTGGTGCCCAGTTCCTTGCCAGTGCCCTCCAGCCCTCCCATGCCTCATTCGGCATCGCTTTTGCTCTCCTCAGGGACTGCCCCATGAAAGCCTCCATCCAGTTGAGGTTTGGCCACCTGGTTATACCATTCTTGGCTTATGGTACAATGCCTGCCAGTGCCTGTGGAGAGGCCAAGTGGTGCCCCCGCAGGGAGATTGCCTCCCATGTTGTGGCAACTAATGCCATAAATGCTGCCCTTTCCGCCCCGCCACCGCTAACTGCATCAGTGGAGGCCTCGCTCCCTCGCCCCTACTGCTCGGGATACTGCAGCTCCCTGGCGTCCTACTCCGCCAGGATTAGACACTCCTCTAGCTCTGCCTGCCTGGAGTGCAGGGATCCCCTCCAGTCCACCCAGCACCTATTTCCCACATTTCTCAGCATCTCCTCATTGTGAGACAGTCCTGTGGAGGCAGCGGCGTTCCTGGCCACCCTTCCTGCCTTCCCTCATCTCCCCCTTCTTCCAGTGCCTTCCCCCCGGCCACCACCAGAGCCTCCCCCTAAAGAGCGTGATGGTCGCAATGAACAACAACATGATAAAGACAAACCATGCTGAAGATAGATAGCTGGTCATTCCAGCATCATGCCATGTCTCAGTCAGGAAGATGACATCTAGTGAGCATTAGCTCAGTAGAACATGAGCTTTAGCCCATGTAGAGCTAATAATGTATTGCCCCAGAGCTCTCTGGTGAGGGTGAGCTCTCCCACAAAACATTCTAGAGAAAAGGACTGCACCATTATTTCCCACTGCTGGATATGTAGCAGCAGGAAGCCTATTTTGGGTGGCATGGCATCCACTAGAAGACCTGCAAGACGCCTGGGCAGTATGATGATCAAATTGACTCACAGTGGATGGATTGGGGCCTGCAGCAGCTGACTGCAGCCCATGCAAATTTCTAGGATTTAAATATTTTAATCTGGTTTGCCCCTTGATAAATATTTTACCAGCCTATGATATTGATATATTCCTCCTTACATTTTTTAGCTCTAGACTAGTTGTTGGGGTTACTGCAAGAATTAAACATTCCTCAGTCATTGAGCAACATGCATCTTTTTCCAAAGCTGCGACAGCTGCCAATATGAAAAAAATAGAAAAGTTCTTGGCTCAAAAAAATTTTATTTGTAGCTACTGTATAATTAATTGATTGCTTCATTATCTGCTTTTCAGAAAGATGTTTTTTACCACCAAGATGATTAGAACTTATTCATTTGGCCAAATTGTGGCCAATAAAAGCAATAATTTTCATACAAGTTCTCAGAGACTATTGGAAAAAACTGTTTTATATGACTTTCACTGTAAGCATGGAGCTAAAATAGTGCCCTTTGCTGGATTTGCAATGCCTATCACTTATGGCAAGGTGAGCATTTTTTAGCTGTACTTTATTAATTGTGCTTCATGATTCTGGTCCACTGCCCCAAAAATTCTCTTGCATGATTGTGATGGACATCAACTGCTAGATTTATACATTTTTATTCATAATATTACCATTTTTGGTTCATATGCATGCTGCTTATCTCCAGCAGGTGAGACAAACAAATTATCTACTTTGGTAGGTAGGCAACAACCATTGCTCAGATGTGGGTGATGATCAGAGTTAAGATTTTGTTTCTACTTCAGATGAAATGAAGTGCAACATTTATATCTGTCAAATGGCTATGAGGTTCATATAAAAAAGACGATTGTGTATAAGTAAATGAAGAGCAAGTTTAAAGTAAGGAACACGAGCACAGAGTATGAAGTAATTATTAGTAAAATAAATTTTAATTCCCTGCTAATCACTACATGGAAATATAAACCTCCAAATTCATATTGTCAGGTTGTACACCATGTGAAGAGCCTTGGCTGGATCATCAATTAAAAGGAAAATATTGCTATGGCATCTTTTATGTTGCTCTTTTATGTGACACTGCTCTTTAATCCACTATTGCTGTTTGACAAACATGATTGCCTCAAAAAGAAATTTCCATTTCAAAAACAAAACAAATTTAGTGTCAATCAAATTGCCTTGCAGTAACAAAATAAGTTTGTAGTGAAGTCACAGTTACTAAACAAGTACTTAATGCTAGGGTGGAGCAGAAATAAGTTTTTATATACTTTTTGTTGAAAATTTATTATTATAGTGGAATAATGGTTATTAAATGCTGTGAAATACTATTTAAATAAAATATTTTGTCTTATTATATTTATATCTCAAGGGGCTGGTCCTTTAAAAAGATATAATTTTGTATTTTCGAGAATGATATATTTCAAACCTTTTTTCAAAATTTAAGATGCAATAATGGCATGTTTACAAAATGATTTTTTAAAAATTAACTCATTGGACTATATCATTGTGTTTTGAGGTGCCACAAACTTTCAAAGAGTGTGAAAATATCTCATATTCATACACTTAAGTTGAAATATAAGGTACACCATTCTTGTGGGTTATTAAATTGTATTGAAATTTCAGTAGTAATTGTGTATGCTAGAGTCAATCTGGGATCTTCCATGAGAAGGGGCTGCATTTCAGGTGCCATCCTAGCCCTGCCCATCCAAGCCCAGCCCATCCTAGCCCAGCCCATCCTAGCCCAGCCCATCCAAGCCCAGCCCATCCTAGCCCTAGCCCTGCCCATCCTAGCCCTGCCCATCCTAGCCCTGCCCATCCTAGCCCTGCCCATCCACTCTTTCATATGATCTGTTGTACAGATAATGAGCTGATAATGCAGCTTTGTTTTAAAGCATATTTTCTTCATTTTGTTTATCCCATTTACCTCTCTGGAAATGTATTACATTACATCTCCATTTTTGTATTGTTTTTGTTAGAGTTTTGTTTAACTTTGTTTAACAAAACTCTCTTTGAACACCAACACATAAATTAAAAACCAGCCTTCAGGGACTAATTTAAGTTACATTTCCCCAGCTTGTGTATTGCAGATATAATTTATAGAATGGAGAAGATATGTAGGTATAACTTCCATCAATGGAATAAAACAAAAATTTCTGTCAGAAATGCAAATGAAGATGCAGAGACAATCATTCTTCACCACCAAAACAGATCACTGTACGATGTACTAGATCAGGAATTTAAAAGCAAAAACAATACCACAAAAATTCACCATATCTTTATAAGAGAAAATGTTTCAGAGTCCAGTTCCATCTTCAGTTCACAAAATTCAGTTCAGAAGAACTTCAGTCCTAGAAACACAAATACAATCAATCAGTAAAGTAAAAGGCAATGTTAGGTTTTAAAATGGAGAATAAATAAATAAGACATGAAATTAACGCTAGTAAATGGCTTACTGTATCTATTTACTATTTCAAGATGAATGGAGCTAAAAGTGGCATTTCAACTAGGCTTCTGTTTGAATATATATAGGGATTCTAAAATGCATAAATCAGTAACCCCGGATGTGGAAGCTAGAATTTTAAAATCACTATCGGATACAGAGGTGTTGCACTGCTTGGCATGAACATGTATAGCAGAATGAGGTGGATGTGCAAGTAGGTTCCCCGTTCTATAACTCCTGCCCTTATGCTCAGCCAGCCTAGTATAGAAATTGTGTGACATCATACTGACATATGCTGATGTGCACTGCGCACAACTATATCTGTAAACTAGTGACGATTGCATAAGAACAGGTAGGGTATGATTAAACCTGAAAAATGAGCTGGTTCCAGAATTGTTAACCAGCAACACATGAAGATTTACATCCAAAAGATATTTAGCAAATAAAACTTTTAATTCCTTTGACATAGTCTCAGATGCGGGGCCAAGTAGGGAAAAGAACAGTAAACAACTTTCCTATTGTCACACTTGGGAATAACTGCAGTATATTGCTTGGACATAAACTTTTGATTTTGGTGAACACCAGGTGCGATGGAAAGCCATTTTGTGAAAAGATATTGTGCAACAATTCAAATTCAGAGTGCATGGCTAGGAAAGTAGAGCAAATGCAAAAGCCCCAGTTTGTATGTCACTTAACCAAACTGAGACTAACTAACTAAACTAATTCTTGCTATTTACCAATTGCAATGTTATTAAATCTCATTACCATTTCAGAATTCTACTTATAGCCTAGGTATCAATTATATGCATAATTTTATTATACCCTTTATGATTGCCCATCCCTAATTTGCACTCATTAAATCAAGCTTCTTAATTTGCTTATTCAACTTGTGTAGGTATCTTTATACAACACTGAACAACCCAGCTCATAGCTCCAGCTCCAGCTCAACCCAGCATCCCATAGTTCTGTTATGTAAGTTTGATTGAATACCAGATAAGGTTTTATATTGTTATTTTATTATTTTTCTTCTCAACGAGTCAAATGAGATCTTGCTGGCATAAAATTATCAATAAGAAACATTCTCTGGTATTCTATCAACCTTGTATAAAAAAGATCTTTTGAACAACAATTGTCATGATGTTATTTTTTTATGTGTTCTTGGTGGGGCCAACAGATCTGGTTGAAGTGGACTCAACATTGCTGTGTCAACTGTAACATAAATAAAATTAATGATAATTATTATTCGCAGATTGGCTTTGAACATGTAAAGTATAAGTTAAGGAAACCTAAAGATTGTGAACTGAAAACTCTAAAGTGAAATGAAGCATTAATACTTTATTAGATTCATATAAAAGAAATCATGAGATTTTCAGTTCCAATATTAAGGAATCAAAGTCTGATAGAGTGATTTAAAAACATATGCCATGTTTAGGAAAATACAGACATATATTAGAATGTGAATAAAGGTAACAAAATAGCAATTGATTTGTATCCTTGAATGATCCATTACTAAACTATGTTTTATGTGGAAGGTTTAAAGAAGAGAACATTTGTAAATGATAGTGAAACACTCACTATTTTGCTAAGAGCACCTGTGATCTGCACTCTTAAGAGTCTGGGGTAGCGGTCGCGGAACTCAGCATCGAGCCCGGGCCGCAGCCGCTTGTAAAATTCGCTCGCTCGAGTTTCTGCCTCAGTCCAAACTTGGCCATCCGTTGTCTGGCTGCGCATTCTCCTCCACTCTCCACGCATACCGTCCACACTGTCTCCATTTGTACTGATAAAAATTTCTTATTCATTTTGCGTCCATTATTGTGTAGAAGTTGTAAAAATAAAACTTGTAATTACCGAACGATTTACTGCGAAGATTTACTACGAATGATTTACTACGAATGCTCGAGCATAAATACCATAACTTCATGTCAACACGTTGAGGCATACATTTTCATTACTTTTTAAAATCTCTCGAGTTCCTCAGTTACTGCAAAATTTCTCATCTTCACTGCAGACAGCGGCTTATTTTTCACTAGTACATAAACCGTTTGCTGCCGATGGGCGAAATTCAGTGCACTGCGAACAGTATCCACTGGTCTATTCTGATCATTTAGACTATTCATGATTATTTGCAACTACGATTGTTTAGTTTCTTACGCAAATAATAGCCGGCTCAAAACTATTTACGCACATTGAAGAAAGCCAGGAAACTATAGTTTATGTTGATAAAATTATTTTAATTATATTCGTGATATTAATCTGTTCACTTATTGAATGATTTTCAAAAAAAATGATTACTGGTTACTTTGGAAGTTTACTGAGAGTTTCCTCTGCTGTCGACGTGAATAAAGGAATGCTGTGGATAGGGGAGGCTGTGGTTTCAAGAGGAGGTGCATGGGGAAGAGTAGGAAGGTGGGGCAGCGAACAACGGGGGACTGAATGATTGAGGGAGTTGGAGGAAAAGGATGAATGTAGAGAGGAATTGGTGAATGAATTAATTGCTTAAATAATTGGGCCATGTATCGAGTGCGCATAACATATACGGGACAGAGCAGCGTGGTTTGTCAACTAGTGTATTATTCAACGCCCCAAAGCTAAGTAAAAAATTTGAAGACAGACTTATTGTACACTTTTAATTTTACAACAGCTTTTATTTTACATTACAGTCTCATTGTCTTTCCTGAAACCTCTGTTATATGTCATTCCTAGTAATGATGTAGTCTGTTCATTAATATTATATATAATTTTTTATGTTTGGAATACTTCGTCACTGTTCAAAAACAATGAACAGTCTGGGAACTGGTGAAGAAATAAAAGGCTAGAATAATCGAATGCCTCCTCTCCGAACGAAGGGAAGGGTTGGAAGTTATTTATTGCTTTTAGCCGATGGTCGTGTCAGAGTGTGGTGTGTCCCCTCGTCCCCTCACCTACCTTCTATACCTATACATAACTGTATAGTATGTATAGTTATACTATATCTATATGTATGTATATGTATGTATACTACTATAACTATACACATTAATGGACTGACTGACTGGTATCATTCATTAATAGATATTGTAATATAGCAATGTTAACTAATTTATAATTTGTAACATTGAAATGCAATCGTTTTTTGAGTATGAACTCATGGATTAATGGACAACTCCATCGCTAATATCACTCGAAATATTTTTACTAGCTGCAAACGGATTAGTTTGTTATGATTTTATTCGATATTTGATTTGAAGCCCTTCCATAAACATCAATTGCAATATTAAGTGCGAGAAATTTCAAATCATAAAATATGGTAAAATTATGGGGAGATTTTCAGGCAGTTTGTTGATTTGATTGTCACCTCAGCCTCCACAGAAATTCGATAGGTAAGGGTATAAGGGTATCTGTTTTCCCCTCCGAGCTCACTCTCTTGTCATCATCTATCCACCACATTTGTAAACAATCTTGTGTTGTGAACCTTGCAGAAAGTGGCAGTCTTTTTGGCAGTCTTTTTTAATCTTGAAACATTAAAAAAAAACAGTGTAGCTGTTTAAAATTATTGGTGCCTAAAAAGCAGTGAAAAGGTTAGAAAAACGCCAGTGAAAATGAAAGCTTATACTGTAATCACTAACCATGTACAATGTACTGCTGCTGGTAATTCTAATTCTTATATAATTTTCACTGGAATCAATTGACAGTTATTATGAAAAAGATCACAAAGCAATTGACCGCTAATTCTTACTCTGATTAATAATAATTAATAATAGCTAATTATTGAATAAAGCCTTTTTTAATTCAGAACTCTGTTCATGGGAACACGCATCGTAGCTTTAAACATTATATATTTAGATTTTCCTCTTTCATTATCATATGAATCATCCTATTACAATCACAATAATAATAACTTGAATCAGTAATTCAGTATGACAGTAAGTCAGTGGGCTGAGTCTGACATTAATATTAAAAAATTATTAAGCAATGGCAAAGTATTGTTGAGGGCTCCTTTTAATCATGAAATTTTTTTACAGAAGTAGAATGATATGAATTTAAATACATTTCTTAGCAGTTTGTAATGAATTTCTGACATTTAAAATTTCAAGATTGACATGAATGCTCCCATGATTGCATAGTACCATATAGGTTTAGAATTCAATATGCTCTATTCTAGCTCATTTAATTCAATAATTTGCATTAAAATAATCGTTCGTGTGGTAGCAAATGGGAAATTTTATATTAAATTGTGCTGTTTATGCATTCATTATCTTCATATTTTAAAACATTATTTCGATTAACTCTTCGTAATCATCCTAACGCATGATGCTCATTTACGATCACCTTAACAACATTTTCATATTATTGAAGATGCATGGAAACATGCATTGTTAGTTTAGACCTGTTAAAAGACTCCGCAGCTTCAGACAAGGGCTCTGAAAGCTGATCGAAAGGAACTGCGAAGAGAAGAGGAAGGGAAGAAGGAATGTTTACCTTGAATGACAGAAGATTTATTGCCAGAGAGTAGGCTGCGCCAACACCCGGTACGACAATGGGTCAGGTCTTGCTTAAATCTATGGAATTTTCACTCACCACTAATAATGTCGACTAATATCTAATGCTAAAAGAATGATTCAAAAATGCTTTGTGTAGAGATCAATGAAGAATAAATAGTTAAATTAACTTGTGTCGCGAAAATGTTAGAAAATGTTGTCGCGCTAGAAAAATTTGCTCATTTTACGATCTTCATATGGTTTAAAATTTTTGTTTGTGATAAAAGTGATAATACATAGTTTACATAATATATCTTACTTTCCGTTAATTGAAAATAATTAGCCAGATCACCATTCCAAATTTCAGACTTGTATCTTATTTAGGAGGAGAGTTATTGGTTGCCTTCATTGTTAAGAACCCTCATAGGGATTAACGTGCCTGGTGGCCGCTCCACCGGCCTCTTAAAGAGACTCTTATATTGCATGTCTCACACTCATTGGGCTCATGTTCATGTTTATGGGTGGAAATATTATGATAATATTAGTAAATTTTTGACAGTTCAGAGAGAGCTTGCAGCTTGAATGAAAACAAGGAATTGTTTGTTCAAACTTGTTTTTATTGCTGCAAAAATGTTAAACTCAAGGCTTCAAAAATAGAAACGCAGCATGGAAAAATTATTTCCTACATCTGTAACCATGTAGCCACTTGTATGCTGGATATTATATTTGTGAATCTAATATTGCTACTGTGTTGCAGCTGTGGATAGCTGAATACTTATAAGCACACTAACAATATGTCATTCATTAAATTTACTTAACGAATGTTGACATCACCTCTGTACAGTGATTATTGAAATTTTTTGTGGCCATAATTTTCAAGTAAAACTTTCCTTGATGCATGATAATGAAGGCATTACATATAATCATTGGTTTAAGTGGATAAACAGTTTTATTATTATATACGTACCTTGACATTTTCTAGTTGAATTAAAAAAAATTATACTTTTTAATGAGTGCTATTTGGTCCAGTGCTACCTACCCCTGATACTAGTGTAAGTAGTACCAATGTATGAATGTTTTTATGATGGTAGCTAAGGTAGCTAACAAACATACTGTTTGTTATGACAAGGGGGCAGTGGATGAGAATACAAATATAAAGGGGTAATGAGCAAGAGTGATAAAACAAATATAAAGGGGTAATGAGCAAGAGTGATAAAATAAATATAAAGGGGTAATGAGCAAGAGTGATTAATTTGTTCCTGGGTGGTGAGACTATATAAAAATGTACATTTTTGACAATCTATATGTCTTACAAATTTAAAAATTTTGAAATGTACCCTTTCAACAAGCTGGGCTGGGCAGATGTATAACATATACCAATACTATTAATAATGACATGAATTATGATTTTTTCTGGCTAGCTGAATATGCTTGAATTTTATTACACTTTCACAAAGTAAACAAAATACTTCATTATATTTGAAACAAGTATTAATGTAATGATTTATTAGGTGCTAGGCCCTAAGTTGGATGTGCAAATCCAAAATAATTGACTCAAGTGCAATGCAGTTGAACAATAATGTTTTATGTGATATGTTGAGTGGTGCAAAATGCCTGTACTTTAGACTGCAGCTATTATGGTTTGTGTACCTATTTCAAGTGTGTAATTTTACTGGCATACCAAAAGAACTTGCCTGTATAACATGCACAATTTTTCATTTTATTGTTATTCAGAACTGAAGCTATATGAGTTTGAATCAATTGCCTAGGAAAAAAGCATGCTATGCTATGATGGCAACCATTTTGAACTTTTTAAAATATTCTCTTGCAGTGAGATAACTTGATGTGTGTGAAAATATACTTCTTAGAATTTTTCTAGTCTGATGTGTCTACATCAAAATTTAGCTGAAAAAATCAATGTAAATTATTGTCATCAATGTTACAGATTGGTGTTTCTGCCTCACACATTCACGTGAGATCTTCATGTGGCCTATTTGATGTGTCGCACATGCTGCAGGCACAAATTACTGGGCCTTCTCGCATTCAGTTCCTTGAGTCACTCACTGTAGCTGACATAAAGAGCCTCAAGCCTGACAATGGATGCCTCACTCTCTTCACTAATGATCAAGGCGGTATCATAGATGATCTCATTGTGAGCAGCACCAGCAAAGGTAAGAAGCTTCAATTAACTTCATTTTTCAAGTACTATATTTGCTAATATCCTAATATTCATGAAATTTTGATAACTTGAGCCTTGTTTGCCAATGCATGTTAGTGTTGAAACAATAATGATGTATCAAGTTCATGATGTCCATAGAGCATCAGTGGCTTCTTTAGGAGACTGGTGAGGTTATTTTGGATGTAACACAGTTACAAAGATCATGCAATCTAACAGGGTGAAAACAGGCTCCACGTTAGCATAAACATTTATTTTGTTGGGGAAGAAGATGAACCCAGAAATCATGATATGATTTAGTGAGAGAAACACATGGACTTTCTATTACTTTATTGCTAGAATTCTGGTATGTTTTTGATGTACCTGCAAGCATATTTGTTCTGTATATTCTCAACTATCAAGATGTCTCTGCACTATTCACAAGCACATTTATACCCTTTAATTGCTTTTTTATGATACAGGGAACTTTAGGGCTTGCAATATTACTGGGTAATTAATATTATTTTTTGTTGCAAAATGTGCATGCATGTGTGCTTCCATGGAAAGTAAGAATTATTTTGAATACACTTTGTGCTCTTAGTTATCTTGATGTTCCTTGCAAATTTTGCACTCAGTTGTATTTTTCTGACTCTTGGTTTGCGGGACTACTTCTCCTGATGGGCTTTCTTAGGTGGCTGTTACTGAGTAATCTCAGCACCATAGTCTCTTGTACTTTCTTGAGCCCTTGGCTTGTGAATAATAGGATGAACCCAACATGAAAAACCAAGAATTCCTAATATCCCCAACTGGATCCAAACAGAATGGAAGTGTCATCAGTTAAGATTTGTAATCATGAAAGTCATGAAGGTGGTGGTGGTGGTGGTTAGCTTATTGGTGGCAAGCAGTGAAGGAGACTCAACTGGAAGAGTCCTCCTGGTTACTAGACTGGACAGGATTGGTACAAAAAATGCCTTGTCACTGGTCCCTGAATTTGGCTTGTAGTTGGCTGAAATGCACATGGTCATTTTCCTTAGAATGACTGCTCTGCAAAAATGCAAACGACAAACTTTGCACAAAATACAATAATTTTACCCCTGAAATATATACAGATAAGCACTGCCCTACCTAATATGATAATCCAATTTAAACAACATAATTGGGAGATATTTGCACAATTCTAACTCTTGACTTGCCATAAAAGAGCCTACATAATTTAAAATAAGAGGACAGCAAGGATGTTGAAGCAGCTGGAAAGTTCAATAATTTTAGCATACCTGCATAAGTGAGCAGACGCCATAGTTAACTGGAACAACCATCTTTTGTTTTAGTTCCGTTTTAGAGAGTTGGTAATGAAAATAGATAATTAATGCAAAAAGCTTCAAGATGAAATCAATTCTAATGATAACATGTTACCATTCAACTAGTTGAAATATGTTCCTTTATGGTGTCTTACATCTCACCAATCCTTGCTTTGCAAGTTTGATATCTTCATTAAAGAGTCATTTATACAGAGCTGCTTGGTCTCGTAGCCTCAAGACCAGTAGAACGATTTGAAGTCCAAGCTCCCTTGCTAGTTCAGCCAACATATAATCTTGTAATCACTTCAACAGCATATTTGTGGTTGCAAAGATTTTGAGGCCGTGGGCAGTTTCTAGCTGATCCTATCTCTGTCCTTTCACTTTATGCTCTCTCCCATCTCAGTCTCTGGCCAACAGCTGATATTTATATACTGATGTCTAAACATTCCTTTATATCAGTGTCATCCTAGATGCTAGCCTCAAATGGAAGTTTCACTGTTGAACACAAAAAGGTAGCAAATAACAGGTTAAAGTAGTATGATGAAACACAGATTCTTAACTCATTTTATATAGGGTTTGAGTTGCCAGTCCTGTGATGAGTTGCTCGGTGACTTTTGGGGCAAGTCTGAGTGCTCATGGCTGTGACATCAATAACTACCGTACCTATTATTATAAATTATTTTAATCAAACAAACAAATATAATCATGCACTGTGATTTCAAAGCAATAGTTAAGACTCAGGAGTGTGTTTTTGTGTCATTGTTTGCAGAGTCAATTTATCTGGTGAGCAATGCTGGGTGTCGGCACAAAGTGCTGCCCCTGTTGCAGTCAGCGCTTGCACAACACCGCAGCCAGGGAGGTGATGCCTCGCTGCTTCTCATGGACGACCATTCCTTGCTGGCACTGCAGGGTCCATGTGCTGCCAACGTTCTCCAGGTGAGCACCATTATATTTGCTTCTCACTCTCCTTACATTTAACTCATTATTTATTACCAAAGCTTACACTAGAACACTTTATTTTTAGCATTACTTGGCTAGTTCCCTGCAGCAAACTGGACCAAAGGAACCAAATAAAAAACTCTTAACACTTTGGGTATGAATGTCTAAACAGTGGGTAACTATATGTCACCAAACCCAAGCTGCTTCCTATCTAAACATAAAGCAAATAATTTTTATTTATAACTATTTTGTCTCAATAAATTCAAAAGGATATAATATATTGAATTGTCCTACAACTTGTTCAATGTATATACAAAGTTGTTCAAGAATAATTTATTAAGCATTCTAAATAGTAGTACTATTGATGTGACATCGTTTCACAGTCTAATCATAATTATTTCACTTGTTCATATATTAAATTTGAAATTTATTTATTGCTATTGAAATATCCTTTGTATTAAATTGAAGAGCTCCAGAGCTTGAAGGCCACCTAAAGGCATACCTTGAAATTCATCTGCTATATTTTACATATTTTAATGATCTCTTCATTTGCCTGGTGCATATGAAGTACCTAGCTTGCTATTTGATTTAATCATTTGATATTTGTCCGTTATTTTTTTACATATTTTAATTGTTACTTCTTATACTTGGTGCATAGCAAACTTTGATTATATCATTTGATATTCATCCAGTATTTTTTACATATTTTAATGATCGCTTCTTATACCCAGTGCATAGGAAACTATTTGATCATATCATTTGATATTCAGCCGCCATTTTTCCCATATGTTAATAATCGCTTCTTATACTCGGTGCATGGGAAACTATTTGATCATATCATTTGATATTCATCCGCCATTTTTCCCATATGTTAATAATCGCTTCTTATACTCAGTGCATAGGAAACTGTCATCATAGCATTTGATATCCTCTTGCCTTAATGGTAACGGCCAGCAAGTTTGGCTGAACCCCTCAAAGCTGAGCTGCTGACTGCTGCTGTAGGCATGTGGGCTCTGTAATTTTCTCTTTTCTTTCAGTTTCCCTCTGAAGCAGCACTTTTTAGTTGTATTGAATTAATTATAAATTAGACTTTTGTTAATTATAAATGCAACTTACTCACAGGAATGGCATGATCTTTAGTTTTGTTTGGCAAAGCACGGTCTTGCCATGACCCTATAGTGTACCAGGGGCCATACTTTCAAAACTCGCTAAGTGAACATAAGTACTTATGCTCTATTTTCTTGTCTATGATTGGTGGATTTTGCGTGAAAGGCCGTCAATGATTGGCTGATGAACATATGATCTCTTAATTTTTTTTTTTAAAGTAAAGGCCCAGGGCATTAAATCAGAAGGTGTGTAGATCTTTTAGCCTCTTGATTTATTGGGTATTTACTTCTGTCCTTTAATTTCATGACGGGAAGAAAGTCTGCTCAGCCAACCTGAGCGAAGTTGGCTTCATGAGCTCAGTGGAATGCTCAGTGGGTGACTCAAAAGTGTGTAGAGTGACACGCTGTGGCTACACTGGCGAGGACGGCTTTGAAATTTCCGTGCCCAACGTGGAGGCGGTGAAGCTGTGCGAGCTGCTCCTGCAGGACAGCGCCGTGCAGCTTGCTGGGCTGGGTGCTCGGGACACACTCAGACTTGAGGCTGGACTTTGTCTTTATGGTTAGTAGCTTGCTTCACTTTCATTACAATATCATTCCACGTGTCTTTATGGTTTGTAGCTTGCTTCACTTCCATTACAATGGATAAAAGCAATGTCTATTCGTCTATGGCTAGTAGCTTTCTGCACATTCATTACAATATCATTGAATATACGGCCCAAAAATTTTAATGTCTCGTTCAAATAAATGCAGCACAGTGCAATGGTGTCTATTTCTTAGCAAATTTCTTATCATTAATATGTTGCTCTCGTATCCTCCTACCATAATTTATAACTGCAGGCAATTGAAATTAGTGGCAAGCATGCCACTACATACAACACTACACTTGCCGCTGCAATGTGCTTGCAGTTAATACTTACTATACTATATATAGGTACTTACTATATGTATGATGATACATATATTATTACATACGACATTTTAATGTACCTATTGCTACCTTTCGAAAATACAATTTTCATTATCAAGCAGGTGAAGGTTTTGCAACACTTAAAATAGAACATTGCAAATGACAGTTGTACAAATCAAGGGTATTGTGGATACAATTTGAAAAATTTTTCAATTGCTAATTGAAAAACGAATGAGATTATATACGCCTGCAACTACATAAAGTACGTATGATGTTTGTGGCGCAGGTAACGACATGACTGAGGAGACCACCCCCGTGGAGGCGGGGCTTGCCTGGACCGTGGCCAAGCGCAGGAGACAAGAGGGTGGCTTCCCCGGACACCAGGTGATTAATCCTCCGCCACGGTAAATGTTGACAATGTCACGCCTTTTTGCATGGCTTGTGGCGAAACCAAGTGATCAATTGTCCGCCATCCTAAATGTTGACAATGCCGCTCCTTTTTGCATGGCTTGTGGCGAAACCAAGTGATCAATTGTCCGCCACCCTAAATGTTGACAATGCCGCTCCTTTTTGCATGGCTTGTGGCGAAACCAAGTGATCAATTGTCCGCCATCCTAAATGTTGACAATGTCGCGCCTTTTTGCATGGCTTGTGGCGAAACCAAGTGATCAGTTGTCCGCCATCCTAAATGTTGACAATGCCGTTCCTTTCTGCTTGGCTTATGGCGAAATCAGGTGATGGTGCATATATAATTGTCCGCCATCGTCCAAAAATAAAGTAACAGGGCGCATGTCTGTCATGACGATAGGCAACGCCCCCTGGTGGGCAGAGACGCCCCCTGGTGTGGGGAGCGCAGCCGTGGGTAACAAAATTGACGCGTAATCAGGCCCTGGGCCCAACGCCAACCATCAGCATGCAATATCTACACATAGCCTCAGATCAATGAGCTGTGGGTAACTCCGGCTAACAGTAAATCCGCTATGCACAACATAGCCACTGCTCCACAGCGCCGGAGCACAACTGGCCGGAGCGCAACAGGCCCTACCGCAACAGAGGCGCGGGATAGGTTCGGTTAGGTTACGTTAGGAGCAGCCTGTTGCGCTCCGGCCAGTTGTGCTCCGGCCTGTGACTGAACGTCGCTTTTGTGGTGGGCGCGTTGTGTCAAAAGCCGTGAAGATGCCCGGCTGCGTTACGCTCGGGAAGGTATGTGAATTGCACTGTGGACTTGGGCTATGCTGACCTCTAGCTATCCACCCCCTGGTGGGCAGGTGATCATGCGGCAGCTGCAGGAGGGGCCCCGCGTGCGACGTGTGGGCCTCACGAGCGACGGCGCCCCCCTGCGCCCCCCCGCCCCCGTCACCCACAACGGCGACATCATCGGCCAGGTCAACATTCCTGTTGATAACGTGCATCAGCATTCTTGTTGATAACGTGCATCAACATTCCTGTTGATAACGTGCCTCAACATTCCTGTTGATAACGTGCCTCAACATTCCTGTTGATAACGTGCCTCAACATTCCTGTGTACTGAATATAATACGGCCTTCCTTCTCAATTTCATTACCGATTTTGTGAAAATACCTTTTTTAGTAATTGCGTATTGATAAGTTTAGCTTACTCTTGCCAATGGCCGTATATTTCATTGCAATGAGACGAAGTCAAAACAAATTTTTGCGATGAAATCTGCGTGTAGTGGACGTCGCCGTCTCAACTATCAAATAAGAGGTCATTGCAATGCTGCAAATCATGAAATATTTATTAATATAAAATTTACATTCCTTCATGACTGCAGCAGGTGGTTGGTTAGCCCAAATCATTCAGGACGCATAAGAAACGTCGAGTACTATTATATTGTTGTTTACAAAACTAAGTAACACACAGTACAGGTTTACTGTAGCACACAAGACTAACATACAGTACAGGTTTACTGTAGCACACAAGACTAACATACAGTACAGGTTTACTGTAGCACACAAGACTAACATACAGTACAGGTTTATTATAGTACACAAGACTAACATACAGTACAGGTTTATTATAGTACACAAGACTAACATACAGTACAGGTTTACTGTAGCACACAAGACTAACACAGTACAGGTTTATTATAGTACCTAATGATGCTGTCATGGTCGCAGGTGTGCAGCGGTTGTCCCTCGCCGTCGCTGGGGCGCAACATCGCCATGGCCTACGTGCCCGCTGCCCTCGCCTGCGTATTGATAAGTTTAGCTTACTCTTGCCAATGGCCGTACATTTCATTGCAATGAGACGAAGACACGACAAAATTTTGCGGTGCCATCTGCGTGCAGTGGACTTGATCGGTTAGCTTAAATCATTCATAACGCATAAGTAACATCAAGTACTATTATATTGTTGTTTACAAAACTTAGGAACATACAGTGCAGGTTTTATTATAGTACATAATGATGCTGTCATGGTCGCAGGTGTGCAGCGGTTGTCCCTCGCCGTCGCTGGGGCGCAACATCGCCATGGCCTACGTGCCCGCTGCCCTCGCCAGGCCCGGCACTCAAGTGCAGGTCCTCGTCAGGAACAAACCGCAGCCTTCCGTCGTCACCAAGATGCCCTTCGTGCCCACCAACTACCACGTCCTCTGAGACGCCGTCGTCTACGGTTTCTCCGCATTTACTCTTGCAATTGACAGAGAGATGTTCTGCGTTTGTACGCTTGCGCATTCATTTCATTTTGTTCAGATAGTGTGTCATGTGAACATTTTCTGCTGATCAATGAGACAGCGCCTCACAAGCGCTCTGAGATATCACCTCACAAGCAGTCGTAATTTTCTACTTTTTAAGTTGTTGGGTTAGTGAAAATTTCGCGGTCTGAAATTTAAGCCAAGAGTCATTATGATTGAACCCGTGAGATATTTTTAATTAATTAATATATTGAATTGACTTTCTGATGACTTTTGACTTTCTGATGACTTTGAATTATTTTCATGTTATTAATGGCAAGTTAGTGAATGATGTTTTCATTTTACCTCAGCTTGAGTCCCACTTTACTTATCTTTCATTCCTATAATTAGTTTGTTCATCATTACTGAATATTGTAGTCAATTGCGCTTATAATATTGAAATATTGTAGTCAGGTATGCGCTTATAAGTTTTACTCAAGACTCAGGCTCTCACATACTCATTTGGTGTTGCTATTAAATGTTTGGGAGTAATCTTAAGTTTCAAATGGTTGCTACTCTAATTTACGTTATCGTTGTGGTCTTATATAAAGCTTTTGCATGTAATCGCGTCAATTATTTTCTCGTGGGGTTGGTTGATGCTTATTTAATGTGCCGCGTTTGGCTGCTGCTGTCCCTACCGCAGTAATTTGAGTCTCAAAGACATAAAAATGTCATGATTCAACAGCCAAACTGATTGTTTTTTTTCGAATTAATTTTAGCGTTCTGCTCTGTGTCGGCGGTGGCCGCTGCTCTGTGCCGATGTTAAGTCATGGCTTGGTCTCAACATTGAACATTGTCTCTGCTGATGCCATAATTTAGATACAAAACAAAGTGCGCGAGTGTTTTTTTATTTGGTCGTCACTAATCCCCCAATTTGGATCTCGGTTACATGGCAATCATTTATTATTCCAGGAAACCGTCTTCCTACGGGCCCTAGCTGAGCAATACCTGCCATCTCTACTACAAATGTAAAGTAATGTTCTAAAGTTGCTTACTTCAGCCGCGTTTACTGGAGGTTTATTGTGTTGCCGTAGGTGTGTGCACGTTTCTGTAGGTCGTGTCATGGAGGACGTGCAGGATGCTTCTACATAATTATGATACTGATAATGTGATCGCTGTAACATGAAGTGCCTTAACTATGCTCGATATTGTTATGCTCAGGTCAGTCTAAGTGGATATATTGGAGTTCCCTAAGCATTGTTTATCAAGTCTCAGTCTAGATAGAGGAGGCTTATGCACTGCCTCTCATTTGTGTACGATTTCTGGTGCTGTGAAATATTTGTATTCACTCTTATGATGATTTTGATGTGCCTCGTTATTTTTGATATTGCCCGCCAAGACTGGAATTACCATTGGCCGCGCTGAGGTTAGGGCAGCATGGTTGTGTCTACCAGGAGCTGTAGTCGCGCACTTCTTAGCTCGTCAGGCAGGGGCGGTCAGAGCTCCTCGAGGGAAGCGTGACTGTTCCTGTTATGTTGTGACCTCTGATCACCAGGCCTCTAGAGGTGAATAATATGGTAGAAGATAATACTTCCATTCATACTTTCACTGCCGACTGTTTCATACTTTCAAAACTCGCTAAGTGCACGTAAGTACTTACGCTCTATTTTCTTGTCTATGATTGGTGCATTTTGCTCGAAGGGTCATCAATGATTTGCTGATGAACTTACGATCTCTTAAATTTTTTTGAAAGTATATAGGCCCAGGCCTATAATTGAATACAACTCTGATGACTGATAGTTTATCGCTGTGCACAAAGGTTTTAACGGCCGTAAATGTTGCCCGTTGCCTACTGCACAACTGCGGCCGTAGCGCCTGCCTGCAGCAGCACTGCTGACGCAGGGCTGTCTCACCGCCTCAGGCGCCGGTGTGCCGTGTCTCGCCTCAAACTCTCGTCTCCTTCAGTCGAGGCGGCAGGGTCTAAAAAGTTCTCCAAAAACGGAAACTATTTCTCCACTCTTTATTTCTCTTAGTTCTCCACGGAACTATTTTTTATGGCATATTACAATTTAGTGCTCCAAATATTGTTGGAATCAAGCAATCGTTCGTAATTTGTATCTATGATCTTGTTGTTTCCTACTGATTGACACAGAAGAGATAATAGAACATGTCAATAAAGATACCTGGACTTCTGCTGGCACATTAACTCGTCTAGCTCCGCCGTACAAGGCGACGTAAGCGTTCTCAGGCACTACGCGGCATCATTAGTCTTCAGTGCAGTGAAGCGTTTGTTCTTGCCTGAGATTACTAGGGAACGACGAAAAAATTTATGTTGTCGCAGCTCAAAATAGAAGTCGGGAACACCCTCCATTAATTCTTGTGAATGTTACTGATATAAGTCGTAATTAAACTATTTTGATGTTTGTAAGAATCAGATGAAATATATTCTATATCTCTATTTTTAAATCTTTCTTCTTCCTGTATGGTTGCAAGTGGATATTCCGCACAGTTATGCAGGCTATGAATTATTAGAAGCGGTTGCATAAGAAACGATGACGTCAGAAAAGTTCTGGACCGCGTCAACCAGGCGACCGCTGAAACCTATAAAGCTTATTTATAAACCATGACGGCGTATTAGGTTAGTTTTTTTGAAGTGAAATTCATGCCAACGACGTTAAAGCTCGATAAGTCTCGCGCCTGGCACTCTAATATGGGCTGCATTTGAGTGCAGTGGCAGCACTTAAAAAACTTTCACTTGATTTGATACGCTTGTATTGTGATTTGAGGAAATTAAATGTCCAGAATATTAGCTGGAGGTTCAGAATTATTTATGAATGTTTTCAGACTTTACAGAACTTTTGTTACGTGTTTTAGATAAATCGAATTATTTAACCTGATTCGCTAATAATTATGGTTGATGCCGGCAAAACGCGATTAAATGTTTAGATCTGATCATCCTGGCTCATTATTAAAATACCAGTTACACATTAAAGTACTCGTACCGCGTGTGTTGAGAGATGCGACCGCGATAGGTATAATCCGCGATGGGGATTTCATTGACTGCTTGAATCTATTCAAAGATTCCTTATTAATAATTAAATAACATATATATTGTAATGTTGTATGTAGGCTGCAAATTCCCTACTTTCATTCAGACCGTAGAGATAAAGTGTACCGGCGCTGATGTAGGCCGAGGCTGGTGGTAGTAGCTGTGTCAATTCCGGCTTGCGTGTTGGTGCCTCGCTTACAGGGGATTACCTGACCGTCGCCAAGGTGAGCTGTATTTTGCGTTACTGTTGAATACCGTTACTGTGTTATGCGTTACCGTGTTTCGTGTTAATGTTACTGTGCCATTGTGCGTGTTTACTTATAGGTGGCTTATATCGTAAATAATTAATCTGGCGTCGTGTAAAGCCGTTGCTAGGGTAGTCATTAGGCGTAATTATTAACAGTGTACTTACTATGCTTATTTCTCTTCTAGGATCAAGAGCATTGTCCCTATGTTAGCTCGCTCTCTCTCTCTCCTCTGCGTCTTAGCTCCGTAGTAGGCTACTTGTTAAACCTCTTAGTTAATAAACCTTGAACTTGCATTTGTTATAAAATCCCGTCACGCCTTGAGCATTGCTTCGTAGCCAATTGGGTAGCTGTTAACCTATTCAGCTTCCGGTAATCGGTGGGTGAGACAACTATGGTCAATACGAACCGTTAAGTGAGGTTACCGGCGATTGATGGTCAGAGGCTGGTTCATCACATACATATTTTTTTTATCATTAAAATTTAGATAAATATATTTCTTTAAACCTGCCAATCGACTTCCTCGTAAACCCGATTCTAATAAATATTTCCTATGAACCCGAGATTAAGTAAAGCTGCACTAGGTACACATGCTTATACACGGGGCCAGTATTGGCTGCAAGTATTCGCACTCCAAATATTGGGATGAATTATTCTTCAGATGCGAGTAGCTGAAGCAGTTGTTTGAGCATGTTTGTGTAGTTGTGCACACATGTAGTGTGCATGTTTATGCGCTCTGTTTCTTTCTTGGGGGCAAACATTTCTAATGTTAATGTTATGAACTATGTATGTCTTGTCCCAGCAACGACGGTTCTTATAACTTTAAGAGGTGTCGAAATGATATTGAACTTTTTTTCAGATGTTCCATTATCGTTACGTTCCATATTGGGCCTATTTCTTCAACGCCGACACTTCTATTCTATATTCCACCATGCACTGCCCTCACTCGACGGTCTCCAACGACGCACTGCGCTGGCACCTGGGGAAAACTAGCAGCTAATACTACTTTTACTAGTCGTGTGTATTAGCACCTTAAGGCTGGTAGTCAGAATGCAGCGAAGTCTGAGAGCGAGGTTTTTGCGACCATCGCGTGAAATCCTTGATCTGCCCGAAGCTCGACCAGTCTCTACCCTCGAGCTTGTACTCTTTGTAATATGATATCCTAGCCAGATCCTTTCTCGCGGCTACTGGTCGCTTTCAGGTGGCCGAGGAATGGCCAGCGGTCGGCTATAACTAATTGGACTAGGCCGACCACTGGCCACGTATTATTCCTCGCTCCTCATTGAGTTCGCCTTCACCTTGCCGCCCGTCGTGAACTGACATTTCAGTAATTTACGATGTCTCTTTCCCCTCATACCTTCCACAACGCCTGCGTTTGAGCAGTTAGTATGCGGGATCTTCCCTCCGCGTATCAGCAGGCTCGATCATAACTATTTTTTGGGAGATAATATCTACAACAAGGAGGCTGATCAAGAAATGCCGAGTATACCATTCAATGGAGAATACAAATTACAACCCGTTTACATCTCGAAAAAAACGTGTATGAGTCACAGACTTGATGAACAATAATATTCAAAGTTTCACAAAATTTTCTTTCATTATAACTCGTTTAATACAAAGTTTACATATTTATTGTTCCTGGCCATTGTTTATAAATAAATAGCTGGGTAAGCATGGAAAAATCTATATCGCCATCTCATTTACGAGTAGAGTAAAATCCAGCCTAATTTGTGAAGAAAGTCATAGGGAAGAGCCGAGCCTGTTTGAAGCCTCGGCTGGAAACCCCTATCGGTTTCCATCACTACGTTGATTCATTATAACTCCGCTCGTAAATGAAATATCAATATGAATTATTATATTATTATTCGGCTATTTATTTTACAATTTCTCTATCGAAACAAATACATATAAACTTTGTATAACATATGTTATGATTGAGGATAATGTTGTACATCGATGCTCAATTTACATGCGACTTACCGAAAATTTATGGGACATGAAGAAGTAGTTCTATTTGTACAACTTCGGTATTAAATCTGTATTAAAACATATGTGATTCAACCGCCATTTTAAGATATTTCTCACCAAGAACTAGTTATATTGCGAGCATACTCTCATGTGGAGTGGAAATCCCGTATACCACCTGCTCAAATGCAGGCGTTGTGGAAGGAATGAGGGAAAGCAGACGTCGTAAATTACTCACCTGTCAGTCCAAGACGGGAGATAGGGGCAACGAAGGTCTTGGAAGGGGAACTCAAGGAGGGAACTCAAATGAAGGGGAAATCGAGGAGGGGCAACGAATAATACGTGGCCAGTGGTCGGCCTAGTCCAATTATATATAGCCGACCGCTGGCCATTCCTCAACCACCTGAAAGCCGCCCGTTACCGCAAGGAAGGGGCTAGCTACGATATCATACAGGGTGGGGCAGAACAGATTGAGCAGTTTATAGCGGTTTCAGCGTTTATTAGGCCGTAGGCCTGTCGCCGATTCTTAACATCGCAGAACATCCACGGCTTGTTGCGGTCTCGAACTCGCAACTCACTGCTTCAATTTTGCTGTGCTTAACCGCCCGGTCCCGTTACCGCAAGGAAGGGGCTAGCTACGATATCATACAGGGTGGGGCAGAACAGATTGAGCAGTTTAGAGCAGTCAGTGCTCGCAGGGAAGGAAGGGAATGGGCGTGCGGGTGTTTTTTTTTTCAGCCCCTCCTCTATTCCCATTTCAGTAGCCAACATAGTGTGGTCAGGAAAACATCATGGATTTGCTCTGCGCGCATATTTCGAGAACAATCAATCCGTGATTGCAACGCAAAGAGATTTTCGGCGGCAGTTCAGTATTCAATGCAATGATGCTCTTCCTCAGGCGAACACAATTCGGTCCAGGGGTTAGGCAGTTGGAGGCAACTGGAAGTACACTAAGAAGAGATACACATGACCGACGCAGGTCCATCAGAAATTCAGAACGCCAGAAAATGTCGAGAGTGTGAGAGTAGCACTCATCCACTCGCCAAGACGTTTTGCACGAAGGCATGCCGTTGCTTAGGGAACCTCCTCGCGCAGTTTAAGGAGGATTCTACATAGGGATTTGCATTTCCATCCCTACCCAATATGATGATGGCCAAATAATTGAACGAAGCCGACTTTGCCAGCTACCGAAATCTGTGTGAGAACATGCTTGAACAGATTGCTCCCGACGCAGCGTTCTTCAGCAGTGATGAGGCGCATTTTCACCTCTGTGGGACTGTAAATATGCAAAATTGTCGTTACTGGGCTGAAGATAATCAATAAATTATCCATCAAAGACCACTACATTCTCCCAAACTAACGGTCTGGTGTGCCATCTAACAATTTGGTGTGATAGGCCCATACTTCTTTGAGGAGGAGGGAGTAACCGTGACAGTGAATTCCGAATGTTATGCTGCAATGTTGCAAAATTTCTTGTAGCCCAGGATGGAAAACATTGTAGAAAATGAAGCATTGGGAGACGTGTGGTTCCAGCAGGATGGAGCTACAGCTCGCACAGCCCGAATGTCACTCAATGTTTTGAGACGCATGTTTCCCGGACGTCTGGTGTCTCTGAGGGGTGAATTACAGCGGCCTGCGAGGTCACCTGATTTGAGCATTTGCAATTTCTTTCTTTAGAGAAATCTAAAAAAAAGGGTGTTCAGAAGTCGCCCTGACACCCTACCATAACATAACATAACATAGTGCTGTCGGCGCTAAAGTGTAGGCCTGATGTAGCCTGTCGCCGATTCTTTTCCTTTTCGTGCCTTGTTCATAGATCTAAACTCGTGTCATTTGACCGGATCTTTTCATGACTGGCGATAGTTTGAAGTAGCTACTAGACTTGCACCGGATGGTCGCGATAGATTACCGTAGAAGCAATTCTTGCCCTGGAATTTGAGTCCAATTAGGCACACATGGCTTGGAAAAGAAGCAAGTTCTTTAATAAAGAAAATCAAATTCTACTATGATAATTTTAGCTTCGTGTGTAGGCCATGTATCAGCAATTGATGCAAACCATTTCTTTTTTTTGATTGAACTGATGCTGGGCCAAGAAACCACGCGATTAAAAATTGTTGTTTAATTTCTGCCCGGAATTGCTGCAGTGGTCTCGAATATGTATGTCTAAATGATTGCATTTTGACTTGCGATTGAGGAATTATTATCGGAAGCCAAGTGGAATTTTAATTATTTTGACCGTAACTTTTTTTTAGAAATAATTTCATCACGTAATCGAATAAAATATCTCAAAAACATCGTTCTAATGCATATTCTGGGTTAGTTTAAAATTAGCGATGAGAAAATGTCATTGAAAACATTACTTCTGTTGGCTAGCCAAACGACACAACTTAGATCTTGACTATTCTATGCGAATTTGGAGCGGGTTCAAAATATTGCACGCGTATGGCAATGTCCATTAGTTTAATTTTAGCAGCAAGTCTGCTGGTAAGCTTTTCTTGTTGCTCTAAGCTAAATGTGCCAAGAGTTCTTCTTTCTTATTCATACGATGTCCCGTCAAACTTTACTTTAAGAGTAATTGAAGGTGGCTGCTATCACTGGTAAGTCATGTCACTAGTTAGTTAGTATTACGATTGCGGATTGCATGATTAAATGAAAAACAAGCAACCATCAATTGGCGTCAAATGTCAATAGGCCTATCGCACAATTCGGCAGAGTCGCCATCAATTTTGCTTCATGTTCATCATGTTTTAACGCAGTTCTTTTGGTTTTGTGAAAGATACATCATACGCGTAGTTTCACAATCACAAAAATAGAAAGATGCTCAAGAATTGAAGCCCCAACTAATTAGGCCTAGGTATGAATTTTGGAGACTGGACAAAAGCAACTTCCTATTGTTAAGATTTTGTGAATATTTTTATCGAAATTTCATCTTTGAGAAATGAGAAGTACTGACAAATGGGATAATAAAAGTTTTTTTTTTTTGTTTGTTGTATAATTGTTAATAGTTTCTTTATTTTCTTAGTCCACTGCAGGATTAGAATTTTCCTGCTTGTTTCTGAGATCTTGCGGGTTGCAGCTTCAACGTGACAAATGTTTGATGCATTTGGAATCTTGCAGCCTGTGAGCCTGATAGGGCCTAGTGCATTTTTTAATTTTGTTAACAATTATATAAGAGGTAATTCATCTGGCAGAAATCTTGCGGTTCCGGAAATGGCAGGAAGGTGCAAGTCGTGGCCCTAAAGTTAGCTAAAACTTAGAAGTTTTCCATGCTTGGTTCACTGCAGGATTAGAATTTTCCTACTTGTTTCTGAAATCTTGCAGCTTTGATTTCTGCTTTCAGCGCACCATTCTGAAAAAAATTAGATTAGGATCAGTTTGTTAATGAAAAACCTAGAAACCGAGTGGGAAGCAAAAAACCTGGATCTAGGTTTTTTCTGCTTCGGAGCACCACTGTGCCTGCGGAGTGCCTGCTGGAGTCTGCTGGGGCTAAATGCCCAAGGATTTGCTTAAAAACCACCATGAACCAGAGCTTTTTTAGAATCAGTTCATTTTTAATTTCCTCATTTACTCGAGATTTAAACCAATTTCTTAAGTATGATAATGCTGGTATCCATGATACTTTACTGGTCTACTTATAGGACTCAAAACTAAACTTTAGGGAGATTCCAAAAAACCCTCTGTTTTGTCACTATGTGCGGCTCCAATGTGAAATTTCATCTATCACAATTGGAATCTTATTTGGCACTTTTGTTAACAAGTAGATAGGGGGTAATTCATTTGGCAGAAATCTTGTGGTTCCCAAAATGGTGGGAAACCTCTAGTTGGGGCCCTAAAGGTAGATGTTTTCCAGGCTTGTAGTCCAGTGTGAAATTCTGGATAGCTAATATATTCTCATCATCTCATGTTAACATAAGAAAATTGATTGAAAAACCTGCCTCCTAGTCCAGGGCTGGAAAAGTTCTATTTTTTTCTGAAATATCGCTGCTCTAATATCATTTAATTTTTGTAGGTATGAAATTGAAGCATCTCACGATCAGCCTCGGATCAGGATTCCACTGTGCAGAAAGTGGGTGAATATTGCAAGATATTTGGCGACGCATCAGGAGCAAAATTTACACCTTCTGAAGTTCTTGCCAACACATTTGGATTGAAATTATTGCATATGAGAAATAACTTCACAATCTCTGGAAATCTGAAGGACTGCAAGCGCACACGCCACACAGGAAGGTTTATGGCACGCCGGAAGGATCAGGATGCAGTGAAGCTTGTCCAGAAATCAGTTATGTTGTCTGTGTTTTAGTGCATGGATAGTAAAGGATATTCTATCAAAGTTTCTTGCAGCACTTTCTTATTAAAAATTACCCAGCAATGGATCTTGAAAATGGCCGGCAGGGTTGGCAATGATTAAATCAAAATGATTAAATCATGTGATTAAATCACTTGATTTTTTTATTATTTTGATTTCTTTGATTTTTTTGATTTTTTCATATATTTAAATATATTGAGTGGCAGTCTTTAATTTATATTGAGGTATTGTTATTCATGGTTTAGTATAAAT